TATGATGATAAAATTGCTTCTGCAGTAAACTGAAAAACAGTTAACTGTTTGCAGTTACCCTAGGAACATCTAAAAGTTAACCCTTGCTGCTGAGAGCTTTTGAGACTATTCACCATGTGCGTAGCTCAAGGTGGAAGAGACTGTTTTGGCATGTCAGTCTGACTTCCTATAAAACAATCAGATACTTCACTTACAGACTTTTTTTTTCCCTGGCTGAATATTTTTCAGAAAAGCTGAAATTTCCCAGTCACAAAGTATCTTACAGATGTTCTTTTATGAAGGAAAGTGTTCGACCCAATCACTAAAGCTTCCAGAGTGTGCCTGATGTCAGCAGTACAGTTTCTTCAATTCAGTATTCTGCTGCGTAGTTTTAAAACTATTATAAGAAGAAACAGGAGGACAGTAATAAAATTCTTAGGATTATTTTGCTAGGAATTATTTGGTTTAAAATCTTGAAGACTTTTATTTTGAGCTATGGTGACTGGAAGGATCTTCACATATCATCAGATATAATCCCTTGTTGCAGCTGTGTAAATCTTTCATAAACAAATCATAGTACATTTTAAGGTTTCTTTAGTCTCTGCTAGGTCAACCGGAAAGCTGTCCCAGAAATTCCTTTCTCTGTTGGTTAAACCTCTAATATGATATAGCTTATGCATACTTTAATGTTGGCATGAGAATAACTTAAATAGATTCTTCACTTTCCTTGTGCTTCTCCTTTCCCTAGTCCCACAGGACAACCTTCTTTGTCTTCATTTTGCAGCTAAACAAACCAAGTTCTCTCAGTTTCCTCCTGTGCAGTAGGGCTGCATTTTCCTTGGCTATCTTAATAGTCCTTGTCTACATGTATTTTAGCTTGGAGAGCTAGCTAGCTTCCACAAATGTTTTTGCCTACATGAAGGATTTATTGCACACCCATAGCTTTGAAGCATATTCTTACATACTAGGGGTTTGAACAAAAGAATGGAAAGCCGGGGCAGTAAACAAGACATGCGGTCTCCGACTGTCTTGTGCCATTTGCTCAGGGTGGATTCATCAGTCGTAGGCAGTTTGAAAACCATAACTCATTTCCTCTGTTTGCTTCAGTCAGTTCTCTAATCTCATGTCCATTAAGAGTTATCTCTGAATAATGAATGGAGAATCCATTAAGAAGGGGAAAGGGCAAATATAGTACTTATTAAAAAAAAAAAAAAAGGCAGGGGGGGAACACTCCAGGTTCTTTGCTTTTTCCCTCTCCAGCTTTCTTTTCATCCATTAGCTTAGCTTCAGTTGCCAGAAAAAACACTGGAGGAGTTAACTAAGCAAGTTAGTTGTAGGCGCATAGGACGTGACAAGCAATGAGTAACAACTAAGTGCTGCCAATGCCAAGTTTTGTAAAATCAGTCTGAATTCTTACTGTGATGGCTACTGGCATTGTCAAGAGGGGAAGAACAGCAGATGCTGTATGTCTTGATGTTTTTGGTAAGGCTTTTCTGACACTGTCCTGCGTGATATGAGCAAGTTAGGGGGAAGTGACTTAGGTGAAGATGCTATCAAGTAGATACAAAACTCATGGTGAGGGAAAATAAACTATGTGTGAGTTAAGAGTTCTGTTGAGATATTTTGCAGGAGTCTGTCTTGAGTTTCATGATAGGCAATGTTTTCTTTAACAGTTGGGATAAGGGAATAGAGAGTATGATTATTGTATTTAAGCTAAGCAGGAAAAGATGAAGTTGCAAAGTATAAATTGTGTAGAGGGCTGGATTATAATTCAGATTGCTTTTGACCGATTGGAGAAATGTCATTGAAAACAGTCTTGTGAAATTCAGTAGAGGCAAATGCAAAGTTAGCAAGTTCAGTATGTATAATCAATTACTCAAATGTCAGAAAAATCTGCTTAATAATGAGGAAAGGGAGCGGGATGCATAAACAGGCATGCCCAAGTCTTCTAGCAAATATTCCTGTATGAGGCTGGTAAGTTGGAGTATTGTCCTGGTTTTTGCTTAGACATGGGTGAATTGGAGGGAGTCCAGAGAGAGCAACAGGTGAGGCTGTGTATCTTAGACGTTTGGCCAGTGAGTAAGGTCTAAAGAACTTGAGGTGGCTTGAGAAAATTCAGAGAAGGTGCAAGAGCTGTGTTTGAGTATACAAAATTAGTTGTAGAAAGAAGGGAAATTAACTCCTCTAGTTACCTATGAAAGGTAAAACAAGGCTTGACGGCCTTAATTTGCACTAAGGAAGACCCAAGTGTGCCATCAGGAGACACTTCCAAATGGGACAGAAAGGAGATGAGAGAGGGGGATTCAAGCCAGCAATCGTCAGAAGTCTCCAGCAGAAGATCAGGCATCTTTCAGGAATAATGTGGGTATCCCTCAACATTTTGTAGAGCCAGGGAATGGACTAGATGGCCTCTCGGGGCTACTGCCAGTGAGCCAGACCTCTGTGCAGCATGGCCTGTCAGAACATCTCTGAACAAAGTGGTGCTTGGATTTAGGACCTGCCCCTGTTCCTCCTCCCCTGCTCTTTGCCCTCTTCTTGGTGTTTGTCATCTCCTAGGAGAAGATAAAATCTCAGGAGCAATCAGCCTCGAAACTGTGATCCTGGGGTCTGAGCCAAACAGAGCTGATAAGACTCTGAGAAGAAACTTTGTAGAGCATTTCCCCTGCATCTCAGAAGCTTTTCCTCCATGCCATTTTCAGATTTCAAGGCTTTTCATTTACTTCCCATTGGCCAACTGATACTTGGCCAGAAATCTGACGTGTGCTTAAACAAATTGATCTGGCAATTACAGTCAGCGTTTGTTGGTTCAACTGTAGGTGGTGGGGCGGTGGGGAGAGGTGAGTTTTCACAGGACTCTGTGCCTGGCGGTGTCCATGTTCTGCCAAGGCATTTACTGTGACCTCAGGAACAGTTGAGAGGGAAATGAGTTGAACTAGTTCAACTGCAGTCCATCATCTTTTCTGAGGTTACTCATTTATGAGCAAGGAAATGTGGATCTGTGGGTTGGGAGGGAACACTGTATCTTTCTGAAGGCGGTTAGGGAATGTGTAATCTCAATTTAGACCGGTTTAAATTTGGAGACACCTTTGATTCTACCTTGTCATAGAATCATCAAATCATAGAATGGTTTGGGTTGAAAGGGACCATTAAAGGTCCAACTAGTCCAACTCCCCTGCCATAAGCAGGGACATCTTCAACCAGATCAGGTTGCTCAGCGCCCCGTCCAACCTGACCTTGAATGGTTCCAGGGATGGAGCATCGACCACCTCTCTGGGCAACCTGGGCCAGTGCCTCACCACCCTCACAGTACAGAATCTCTTCCTTATATCTAGCCTGAATCTACTCTCTTTTAGTTTAAAACCATCACCCCTTGTCCTGTCACTACAGGACCTACTAAAAAGTCTGTCCCCATCTTATAAGCCCCCTTAAAGGCCGCAATAAGGTCTCCCTGGGGCTTTCTCTTCTCCAGGCTGCACAACCCCAACTCTCTCAGCCTGTCCTCATAGCAGAGGTGTTCCAGCCCTCGGATCATTTTTGTGACCTCCTCTGGACCCGCTCCAACAGGTCCATGTCTTTCTTGTGTGAATAGTGTTACTGAAAACTGTCTGTAAACACGTAATCTGTTAGGTTTATGTCCTCCAAAAGACACTGTAGAATATGTGATTAACTACGAATTCTCAATGTAGTGGCAAGCAGGTTTGCTTAACCAAATCTCATGCATTCCATCAAAGATCTCAGAATGAGATGGGAATATAAATAGTCATTAATCTTGCATGATCAATTTTCAGCATATTGCTTATAGAAATCAACAATTTAATGTTACAGTACATGTCCTAGGTTTTTTTTATACACTTTGATCTAAAATTTCAGGAATATACATTTGTAAGACCAACTTAGAGGTTTATAAAACTGATCTGAAAACAAAATTCCTCTCAGTGTTAAGTCTGAGTTCCAGAAAATGTTGTGTGATTGTCTTCGTGGCTGCTCAGCAGCTGCTGAAATGAAAAGGGATCTTCTCAGGCATCGTGGTGGTGTTGACTGGATAATTGGGTCAGGTCATAGTTGGTTGCAGTTCCAGACTCTCCTGTCTTTGACAGTGGCACTGCTAAACAACCTACAACATTTTGGGAACTTCCTACAGAAACTTGAGTACTGAGTCAGCTGGGTTTGTGCCATGTCTAATCAGGCTGGTCAGTGGTTATGGTATGTAACTTAAAAATTGTAGATAGAGTTTTTTATGTTCATTTGGGAAAAACTGGTCAGTAACAGGAGAGGGTGTCTGGGACAGTGACATTTCTGGGGTTATTCAGATGCTCCCACTGCTGGAGCTCACAGTCCTGTCAAAGTGTTGGTAGAAGATTTCTTGCTCCTGTTTTCATGCTGTCTGCTACTGGCTTCCACAGAGGCTCAGAAGTCTTTGAGATGCTTCCTGAGATATGAGACTTGGCAATAACAGTTTCTCCTTTTGGGTGCAAGTTTCAAGTTGTCAATAAAAATACAAAGTCTAAAATTAACGAATTTCTACAATGACTTGATACTGGGTTTACTTATTGTGGTAGTATACCAGAAGAGCTACTGCAACGTACCACTTTGCTGTTCAACAGATCGCTTCATCTTCTTGACGCCTTAGTCCTGTAAGCCCAGTTAAGCAGACCAGTGTCTTTTGTCTCTGTCATAGTTGACTCTGAAGTGTGGTTTTAAAAAAAACAATCGCCTGTAAAATAAAATCCAAAAGAGAAGCTTCAAACCCTATGTTTCTGTACCCTCATGAGCCTGGCTTGCTGAGGCTTGCCCTTTTTGTTCTCTGAGTGTTCAGCTACACCTGGGAGGGAGTGGGGCTTCCTTGAAGCTGCTGCTGATGCACATTGGAGTGTGTCCTACCGCTCTTCAAAAACATTGCACATCCCTTGGTAGTAGTGCAATACAGCATGTGCTGGGCCATGCACACTTGTCTGGTAGATATACCATGCTGGTTTCTTTAGAGTATGCCTCTGATATGTACTCTTGTCTGTTTTCCGCAGGGATACAGCCGGGCAGGAACGATTTCACACCATCACCACCTCCTATTACAGAGGTGCCATGGGGATCATGCTAGTATATGACATCACCAATGCCAAGAGCTTTGAAAACATCAGCAAGTGGCTCAGAAACATAGATGAGGTGAGTAATGTTTCTAAGATTCTGGAATTGAGCTGTTTGTTGTGACCCATAGAGCATGTGATGAGTCCCACAGAACTCAGCTTCTGGATTGCAGCTTCTGCTTCTACCCTGGCAGAAGGTGTAAATTAACGCAGGGGTTTGGGTTCTGGTTTTTGGCCATCCTATGTTCTATGTTCCCTGCCTCAAGCCTCCCTTCAGCAATGGCGTGAAGGATCACAGCACTACGCAGGGGCTACTGGTGTCCTAAAACGTCAAACTTGTACATGAGCAAACTTTGTGCTGGAGAATACTTAGAGGTAAGGAATACATCTTCTGGGCACTGCAGTTTTCAGGAGGAGCTGCCACCACAAGGTGGTGTGCAGAGGAGCAACACTAAGCCATAAGCTGTAGAGTAGCTGTAGAATATGTCACTTCTAGTACTAACCTATTTTATAAGGATGACTGTGTAAATCCTCAAAGATAATTAAATATGATCACCTTTGCTCCCTCAAAATTGATGAAATATTTGCAAGCTTATCATGGCTGTTGCAGGTAGTATGGCAAACTGCTGTTGTTGAATGTTGGCAAACTACTCAAAACCTGCATAGCTGATTTGTATCCTTGTTAGAGTACCAAACAAGGAGGCTAGGAGGATTTCAAGCAAGGACAAGTGAAGCAGAATAAACTGATGTGGAAACCTTTAGTGCCTGGATCCCCAAGAGTTCATTCTCCTGGAGTTCTGAGATGTTAGAGTGGCACAACTGTTGGTTGTTGCTTTTGTTATGCTATTCCCAAATGGAATAAATGTTTGGATTTTCCAGCTTCATTATTTTCCTAGAAAGCATGAAGACAGCCCTGTAGAACTGACCGTCAGCAGGTGGGTGTTGTCAGGCATTGCTAATTGAAGCTGGTGAAAGGTTGTTAAAGAGCAAACATGTGATATTGGGACTTTAATTTCCTAGTGTGAGAAATGGGAAACTATATTGCTTATGGAAAGGTACGTGTTTTGGTGGGTACAGAAGGGAGGTTGGGGGGAGTTAAGGCAGCACAGGAAGAGACTCAGCAATGAGTTGAATGTAAACTTGAAACCAAGGCCTTTAGATTCTGCAGTTGCTTTATTTAAAAAATTCAGTAGTATCCAGGAAGTTGGGTAATGGATCTCATTCATACCATTGTGTCTGAGTAGCAAGTGGTTTTGCTGACCTCATGTTTTTAAATCTGTGTCACACAGACCTCTGCATCTGATTTCAGGTGCATTGTGAAGGCTGCATGGTTACTGCAGTTTTATAAGGGACGTTTGACACCTTAGGAAGCTTTTTTTATCATGGAAGAAGTTCGCTAACGGAGTGCATTTGCAGAAATGATGGGTGAAGTCATCCTCTGGGGTTCTAGATGCAGTGTTGAGGCTTCTCGCTGTGGCAGGTTTTACCCACTCGCATACAGGATTATTGCAAATGATAGTTGTGAAGGGAATAACTAAGTGTTTTGGTTGTACAAGGAGTTAATATTGCCAAGGATATTCTCTCAAGGAGGAGGATTTTTAATAAGCAAGCTGCTGTTCTGAATTGCTGTTCTGTGCAAGGAGGCTCTTCTACAACATACTTAAGGCTTGATTTAGAAATAACTAGGAAACCTAGAGATGTTACACCTTCATTCTTGCTAAATACTTCATTATTTAAAGTTTGCACATTCTGCAGAGGTGTACTATGCCATGCACTTTTGCTTTGGGCTAGTAGGAATTAGTTGAGTTGCGCAAGTGCACAGTTTTCCATGTTGGGGCTGGCTGTGTTTGAAAGAAGTCTGTTGCTGTGTAAGCAGTTTTGTGTGTGTGTATGAAAAGTTAAGATTTTTGGAGTCTTATTCTACATGGTATCTTAATCTTTGCTGTCTGGTTGCTCTTCCTCCTTGTGACCTGAAGGAAAAAAAACTGTGGGTGATTTTCCTCGGGTTATTACTGTAAGCAGGAGTACTGGGTACGTGGATCTCTTGCCTCTCCAGTTCTATTAATAACGCTACAGTAAAGTAGTATTAAGGCTGTTGGAGTGAAAGTAAATTCAGATTAGACTTTCCAAGCAGCTTCTCATGGCAGGTTTCAAAGTACTTCCGTTATCCACTTAAGTGATGCTTTGTGCTGTGGCTGCTGGAACATTTCTGCTAGTCTGGTGGTTGTCTTTGGCATGTTCTTTCCTTACTATGATGGATATTGGCAGTACTTCAATAACTGAACAGCCAAGGTATTTTTGCTCATTCAACATTCCTTGAGAAAGCATTGGCACTCGCTTTTGCCTTACAAAGGGGATTCCCTGTGTATGCGGTCCCCCTTTTCTTTGGATCCTGAGCATTGGTGTGGTGCTTGCTTCCATTTTCCCTTTGCAGTGTCCTGGTTTATGGGTGCTTGGTATACAGTCTGCATTCTGTTTCACTGCGTGAGTTTGTCAACTTCTGTGTGAAGTACTTCACAGATAGAGCTAAGGCACAAAGCTGACATGCAGTCTTGTTCTGATGATTGCGACATCAGAGGAACAGCATGATGCTGGAGAGCTGTAATTTCCTTTTGTTAGTTAACTTGTAATTTTTTTTTTTAGAGGAGTTACCAAGCAAAAGCGTTTTTTACTAACTTGGTTATTTGGCTTTGTGGTTGTTGAAAGCATAGTTGCAATTGTTAAGGAGACTTACCTGTCTACAATAAAACTATGCGAAGAACCCTTTAAACACCAAAAAAGTAGTAGTGTCAGCTGGAGCTGCTCCAGTGCATGAAGCTTGATTGTTGGCACCTGTAGACATGGGTGCTTCTTGTCCTGTGATGTTCTGTAGGATCACTTCTGTAATGTGCTTGTCTAGTACACATAAAACCTGACACCTCTAAGTGCCAGGCAGGAAGCTGATTCTTTTCCCACGTCACTGAATGCAAACTAACAAAGATTTGGTAGGCAAGCATCATTAACTAGAAGGATCTGGGTGGCAGAACAGCACTTAGTCCTTTTCAGAAAGGAAGACTTCACACTTAAAACTTCAGAAATAAAAAGGAAGGGGGAAAATAACGGGCATTGGGATGGTGATAGAGCTGTTAAACCTGTAGCTGTTGTCTCATTCCACTTCCATGTTATATAAACAACTTAATCTAAAGGCACTGTCTGAAGAATGATTTCTAGCAGTCTTTGTTACAACTTGGGAAAGTGCAGGACACCAAGACCTGTAGATGTTTGCCTGGACTTCAAACAGCCTGGAAGTACAAAAGTGAAGTAGATATTTACTGCTTGTTGGGGAGACGTGTAAACCTGTCTCTTGTCTCATTTTAGCATGCCAATGAAGATGTGGAGAGGATGCTGTTAGGAAACAAGTGTGACATGGAAGATAAAAGAGTTGTCCCTAAAGCAAAAGGTGAACAGGTAAGTGTCAGACAAAAACTTGCTTATCAAAGTAATCAAATCAGTGCGAAGACTTCCCTCCATCTCCAGGTGGTTGAGATGCCACAACAGGATGTGCCAGGGAACGAACAAGGTAGCTGGATTTGCTAATGGTTTGTAAGTCTAGGGAATGTTTTCTCAGAAGCCACACTGCAAACAACTGCCATGAATGGAATGAGTTCAGCTGCACTTTCTGCTTTCTTTGATAACAAAGGATGCCTGAAAATTTTTAGTTAAGTTACTTACCATGTGACAGGCTTGTATGGTATCTGTTGTCTTGTGTTCAGACATGGACTTGTGATTTAATACACTTTAATTGCTGTTTCTGAACCATTAAGTTCCGAATCTTCTTTTGTGACACTTTGCCTAGCTAGTACTTCTGATGCCTGCTACAGCTGAAAATATATTCAATGCTTATAAATGCTGCTAGTCCTGAAGTTAGAGCAGCACCAATTGAATAACTCCGCAGTAATGCTAATCATCTTCTTTCTTTTTTGGTTTAGATTGCTAGGGAGCATGGTATTAGGTTTTTCGAAACTAGTGCAAAAGCAAATATAAACATTGAGAAGGCATTCCTCACATTAGCAGAAGACATTCTTCGAAAGGTAGGTACTTCCAAGATTAGTTGGAAAAAAAGCCCCTAAAATTTCAGCTCCTATTGCTTTTGATGTTTACCTGAATTGTTGCAGCTTTTGACTTTGGCATGCTAAGACAAACCAGTCCCTGAAGGAGGAGTATTGTACATCGAAAGCTTCTAAAGTTTGTTTGATGTTTCATTATTGTAGAGGTACCATGTGGAGTGAGTAGTATACATCAGAGAGTGAAGGAACGTAAGCTTGTAGTTGTTTGGCCTGTAAACTCATGGTTATGTTGTATGTGTGCTTGGAATTAAAACACTTTGGTTGGTGTAGAAGAGAATTGTCCTCTCCCTGCCACCATCTCCATCAATATGCAACACTGTCTAAAAACTCTTGAGTGCCTGTTGGGAAGAGTTTAGATGTGGTTGATAGACCAGATGAACGAGCTCTGTCACTTCCTACCTTGTTTCCAATGATTAGCCCTCTTGGCCTCTGCATTTCATTGGAGGCTTTATTGGACGGTTGTATTGCAACCGAGAGAAGAATGTGGATCACCAGTTCATCCTGGTGGTTGGTTCCCCTTCCTGAAATGTACAGTGTACCATAAAGGTGGTTGTCTTGTCTGTGGCCTGTACCCAGATCTTTGTACGCCCAGAGCTACAGGGTACTGCTGTCCTTGTATCCCCGATATCTTTTATGAGTAGAAAATGCATCGGCTTCCAAGAGCTGCCACTGTTGTGTTGCAGGATTGAGCTGGGCTGGATACATGGGTGGCTCCAGGGCTGGTTCCAGTTAGATGATGTACTCCCATAGCCAAGGGCTTGATTTACACAGTAAAACCCCTGTGCTACCACGTTCCTGCTTACGATCAGGTCGTGCCTCTCCAGTGCTGAAGCTCTGTGGAGCTCAAGAGATGTGGGTCAGCCAACTCTAGCATATGTGCTTTTGCCCCTAAACGAATGACCCTGTGTGTTTTTTCTGTGCTCCAGCTTAGTGGTAGGGGCTGCCCTGTATTGAGACTGCCTTCATCAATGTCTTCCACCGCTCTCCTGCATGCATGCTATTGATAATGTCATCTGAGTTAATTGGTTAGAAATTGAGTGCAATGTCAATGTTGAATCTTTTCACAACCCTTTTAAATACACATCTGCTCAACAATGTCTGGTTCGCTGTTGTAGTTCTGAGTTGTTTCTTAATCAGTTTTTGACAAGCTTTATGTGAGAAACGGGATGAAAATCCCTGGCCTTTTGTAAACAGGAGGTCAGGCTAGCAAGTCTTACTGACCCTTTTGACCTTTAAATTTTTATTTTGGGCCTCAGTGTATTTATCCAAAGAACAGGGGGGTTTGCTTTTGCAAGGCTGTGACAAAAAGAAAAGGAATATAGAGACTAAACTGCAGTATTTTCATGAATGCTTAGGTTAGTTTCTAAACAGCTGAAAGTAGATGTTAGCATCTGATCAAAACCACTTGACTTTGATTTTTTGCTTTGGTCTAACCAAGTTTACATCCCGTGACGCAGACGAGCCTGTTTTGTCCGCTGCCTCGGAAACCGGTGTCCTGGTTGACTGGAAGGCAGATGCTTTTGAACAACCCCTCTTTATCCATAAAATACTGTGTGGTTTTTTAAGGTCATTAGTTCACATAATTTAACTTCAGCTTGTGTTAGTTACATACTGTGATTTACTTACTCCACCAAAGTCTAAGTGTCAGTTCTAAGAGTGGGATCTAGAAATAGGTTTAGTTTACTTTGGGATGGTCCATGTTCAAAAGTTGTTTGTTTGTTTGTTCCCCCCTTCTTGCCCCCAGCTTTCCAGTTGTTGTTTATTTAAAACAAAACAAACAAAACCAATCCCCTTAAATTGGTTTTGCATACTTTTGCTGGAGGGGGGAGGAGGATTCATTATGTTTCTGTGGAGCTCTTTGTCCATAGTTTATTGATAATATTATTTGGTGATGTAAGTCTCTTTGTAAGCAGCTATCTCTTCAGCTCTGAATACTTTATTTCAGAATATCTCAAGAGTCATCTAACTCTTTTTACTTGTCTCATTGCAGACCCCTGTAAAAGAGCCCAACAGTGAAAATGTAGATATCAGCAGTGGAGGTGGGGTGACAGGCTGGAAGAGCAAGTGTTGCTGAACATTCTCCTATATCACCAATCGCCATCCACCGCCCCTTTTTTCTCGCTGCAAAACAAACCACTCTGCCCGTTTTTAACCTTAAACCAATTTTGTTCCTCATCTTAACAAGCTCCTGTCTCCCTTTGTTTTTCTGTTTAGGACAGCTTGCATACTATAATTTTCTCAACAACATGTATAGGAAAATCATTTCCGTGACTTCATTTTTTAATGTACCTGCTCAACTTACCACTACGTTTTGGTTGTATTATAGTCCCGTTCCTCCTGACATTAAAACATATAGCAATCATATTCAACTCTATTCTGCAAATTGTATAAGAATAAAAGTTAGAATTAACAATTTATTTTGTACAACAGTGGAATTTTCTGTCATGGATAATGTGCTTGAGTCACCATATTCTCTAGATGCATCAGCAAAAGAGCCAGGAAAACACTCATTTTCGCCTTGAGTCTGTGAATGGGGTTTATTTTGTCCTGTGCCTTATGTGGAAAGGAACTTTTGTTTTCTTTTTCTTTTCTTTTCTTCTGGTGGAAGCATGTGCAGGAGATGTACCATCCATACTTGACCATTTTAAAATACTGAACTCTTTTGTGATTGCTTTCTGTAACTGTTGGTGTAATGCATCGAGGACAAAGGGTGGTGCAAAAAAAAATAACTACATTTAATCTGCTGTGTCTCCTTTTTGGTGATCTAGCCATTCAGAACTGTTCCTGCTGCCATTTTTTTTTTCCTCACTTGCGGCTCTTTCCTTTTGCCTGCATGCTGCTTTTATTTGCATTTCTTCATGGTGTGATGTGTTAATTAAAAGGATGGCAACGTGGTATGTTTGCCAAAAATTTAATACAAAGCACTGATTTAGCTTTCAAGGTAAAAATGTTGAAGATACCTACTAATTTCCCTCTAGCCAATGTCAGTTCACTAGTATATCTTCTCTCTCCTCCTGCATAGCCGTTGGGTTTTATGATATGGAAGAGTTATTTGCATGCACTAGTTTTTCTATGGAGGGTGATGTGGTTGTCTACTTTATGTGTATGAATATAACATGCAATTCCCAAACTGACAGCAGTTAACATTAACTTTTAAGTTCTCTCTTACTGTTAGCCGCTCCAACAAGTTGTTCAGTAGCCTAGCAAAAGGCTGAGTGAAACTAGATTAAAAAAAAAAAAAAAAAAGAAAGGAGAAAAAAAAAAGTTGGCAGTTTAATTTATTACCTCCCTGAAAACTTTCCATTTTCCAGTGTTAAAAGCTGAGTCATTGGTACTTGGGTCAGTCTTGCTCCCAGTCCCGCGCTGTGGGAACGTGGTGGGTGATCCCAGCAGGGCTGCTCAGCTCCCCCTGGGATTAACTTGCTTTTCCAGCTCGCCTTCTGCGTTGCCTCGGCCAGGCTCCGGTGTCACCGATGGCATGGCTTAGTCATTTCTGAAAGGAAGGGGGTTAAGGACTGCCAGTCTGACGCTGTCGACTGCTCCTGCCGAACTGGGCGTTCAGTCTGCAGGAGTGTTTGTACGTTCACTTGCCTTGCATTTAAAATAACCACGTAGGGGAGCTGCTCCAGCCAAGGACAAAAAGATATTTTAAATAGATGCTTCTCCCCCCCGCCCCCAAGCCTCACATTCTCCTTTAAAGTTGGACAAGCTTGTGCCTTGCTCTTGTCCGCTTGAGTTTTGGACTGCCTTTGGTAAATAATGAAAGTAGTAAATAATGCTGATTTAATTTTAATGAAGTGATGGTGTTTTAACATTGAACTTCTAGTTTCGAACGGCTTCCCGTGTAGTAACTTGACCAAGGTGTCTCCCTTTTCCACTGTATTTTGGCATTTTGTCTCCGTGTGTGTTAACCCTTCCCAGTCGAGTGGCTGTTGGGGTCGGGCAGGACCCTGGGACTGGCGGATAAATCGGCACCGCTGTGTTTCTCACATCCCACGCCTGCCGGTCAGCGTTGTAAATAGCGTACGGCTACCTTTTGGTTAAATCTGCACTTTCTAACATTATCAAAAAGGGAAAAATGGAGAAATATACATCAAGGGTTTTTGGGTTTTTTTGTATAATCCTTGTTTTAAACGTGAGCTTTTTATTTGCTTCCAGGGGCTTGGCTCCCTCTGTGTAAATCCCTCGGGATCCTTTGTAGACGCTGTGTTTGTTGCAAGCCAACAGGTAGAGAACAGGCCACTCGCTGGTACTACTAGCTACCACCTCCGTTTCCTATTCTCCTTACCGAGCTAATAAACTGAAATATTTCTAGACGGTCTACTTCTGTTTATATAAAAAACATGAATTTTAACTGCGTGGCTTGGCTTTGTTTTGTGTTGTGGAGTGCAAGGCCCAGCCCAGGAGGAGTGAGCAACAAGAGTCGATGCAGATGCTTTAAAAAAAGAAAAAAAAAAAAAGTAATAATAATCATGTTGGAGGAATTTGCAGTAACTTTATTTCTGCCGGTATCTAAACTTCCTGCTAGCTAGCAAACTAACTGCTTGTGAAACCTCTACTTGGAAGACACCCCCCTCCCCAGCCCTGTGTGTGGAATAAAGCCTAAGGCCAGCCTAGAAAAGGATGCAAAAGCAGCTTTTCCCGCGCCAGCTGCCCCGGTGCCGGCGGTGCCACCGCAGAAGGGGGGGCTTTAGCTGACCCGGCCAGCGGAGGAAGACTCGGCGCTACCTTTTTGTCACGGCAAAAAATGTAACTTGATTAAATTGGTCGTGCTAAACTAAAACCCGAGGTTGAATCTATCCTACAACTGGGTTAACCGCTTTCTGTTAAGTGCTTCGGCGCTGCCCGGGGGAGCTGCCGGTGCCGCGGCGGTGCGGGGCAGGGGTAAACGCGGCGCTTTGTGCTCTCGGACTCGGATGGTGAAAAAACAGCATCAACTTAAGGTCTAGGATTAATTCCCATGCCTACGATTTTTTACTTAATCTTTTAATATTTTTGCTACTCCACTCTGGCTTTTTATTTAAAACACATTCTTTTGTACCACTTACTGTATCAAATTGTATAAAAGATCACTGTCCCATTCTTGGTCATACCAAGAGCAAATAAAAGCTTTTATAAACTTGCATTGGTTACTTCCTCGGCCCCATTAAATTCCCTTTCGCCAAGCCTCGGCTGGGGCCCTGCGTGCCGGCAGGGAGCAGGCTGAGCACCGGCCCCCCTTGTGGCTGCCCCTTGGAGAAGGTGGGTGCCGGGGCTGGGACAAGCCCCCCCCAAGCCTTTGGGCCAAAGAAAAGCTTTGCACCCAGGCTATAGTTGCTCTTAGGGCAGCTGTGACGGCTTGGACACAAGGATAAAGCCTGGAAAGCGCAAACTGGTCTCTTATTTGGAAGAAGTTGTTTGGCTGGGGCTAGAGCTGCTCTTTTCTGTCTTTTTTTTTTACAGAAAAGCTTTAGGCTGTTGTTTTTTGAGGGCATTGCTAAGTGCGATGGCGTGTCTGAGGCTGCTGGCATCTGCCCGCTCCTCCCGTGGATCCTCCGTGGGTGGGGGTACACCTGGCTCTTGGGCTGGTGACTGCAGCACCCCGGGGACCCCCGGCTCCTTGGGGAGGACCTTTGCAAACCCGTGGAAGGAAAGCGGCTGTTTCGGCCCTTCCCTCTGCAGCTGTGGGTTGTGTGGCTGCGAACTATGGGCGGCTTTTCCAGCTCTCCAAGAGCCCCCGCTGCTGGCTGGTGTTTATGGCCGAGCCGATGTCCTTCTCCACCGAGCAGGATCCGATCGCCCTTGCCAGTTCCCTCTCCACAAGATCTCCTGCCCGGGGGGAGCGGGTGCCCCCTGGGGTCTCCCACAGCCTTCAGGTGCTCCTGGGTTGGGGGTGTCACCCCCCTGCAAAGGCTGGGCGAGGGGCTTGTCCCCATCCCGCCATGGCATGGGATGGCAGAGCAGGGACGTGCTTCTCCCTCTTCCGTCCCGCTGCCATGGTGTCGGTAGCCGGGAGAGGGTGTTTTTGTGCCGCTGTGGGTAATAAAGCTGACGCTGAGGCTGCAAGAGCAGCCCCCGGGTCCCCCTCGGAGGGGGGACAAGGCCATGAGGAGCAGCTCAATGATCCCGAATCCTTCCCATCCCTGGAGACTCATCAGCTTTTTGTGGTGGGGAGGGAAGAATTCGTCCCAGGCCGAGCTGTCGCCGTTGCCAGGATCTGGGGCCTCAAGCTCTGTCCTCACCTCTGCTCCATACCTGTCTCTGCTCCTTCCCCATCCCATCCTTGCTCCCTTCCCACCCCTGCTCCTTCCCTGTCCCTGCTCCTTCTCATCCCCGCTTTCCCATCCCTGCTCCCTTCCCAT